GGGGGGCGGAGGGAGGAAAGGAGAGGGGGAGGCCGCACCTGAACAAAGGCAGGTGTGAAAAAGAGTGATTGCAGGATGGAGTTCATGTAGCATGTGGCCCCCTGGTTATACAGGCCACAGTATGGGCTGGCAAGGGTGACAGAGGGGTAAGGGGAGGAGGGGCAGGTCAGGGCGCCAGCTGGCAGCCACACCACGAAAGGCAGGCACAGGAAGAAGAGCAAAGGAGGAAGGCCAGCGCACGCCAGGCTCGGAAAGACCGAGATGATGTAGATCTCCAGTTCCTGGTTCGGGGGCGAGTGGAACGACAGCTTCTGGTTGCCCTCAATCCGGGAGACGCCTGCATCGGCCGGGATATGGATGTCAGCGGCGAAGGAGCAGAGAGAGAGAGAGAGAAAGAGGGGAGGACACTCGCAAAGGGAATGGCCAGTCGCCGGGAACAAAAGGCGTACCGGTATCGGGGCGAGATTTGCGCAAGTAGGCATACTGGCTGGGATTGGCCGTGAGGACAACCTCCTCGCGGCTGACATAGATTGTCCTGCGCATTTGCAAGAGGGAGGAGGGGTGGCGAGGGGTGGCGAGGGGGGGGGGGAGAGAGAGAGAGAGAGAGAGAGAGGATAGAGAGGCCGACAGACGGATGATAGAGAGGGTGAGCGGGGGGTCTGGATCAGCTGCTGGCTGGGGCGCAGGAGGGTCGGGGCCCGAGACAGGCGACGTGCACGCACCCGAAGGCGCCAAGGGTGAACTCGGTGGGTTCATCCTGCACGCCTTTCTCGAACCGAAAGATCCGAATCCAACAGAGCTCGCCAGTACGAATGCGCTCGTAGATGCGCTCATCGTCGGTGATTTGTGCCGAGGGGGGAAGGTCATCCACTACGGGGGAGGTCGATCGTCAGAGGGGATGGGCGAGAGAGAGAGAGAGAGAGAGAGATCGCGGGCAAGGGAAGACACCTGCGGCGTGAGCCAACGCCGCACGGTGGAACGCACCAGTCACCTCGGAAATTTCCGAGGGGGCACCGCCTCGTACGGGACCGATGGGGCCCCCGGGCTGTCCGGAGGGAGACAGCATCGACGTCTGGCTAGATGCCGTTGAGGAGGTCGGATCAGGCAAAGCGGGGGATGGGGCGCCGGGCGACTCAGCTTGATGTCCGGCCCGCCGCAGCCACTGGAAGATTGACATGTGTGTCTGCTTTGAGGGCGGAAGGGCGATGGTGGTGGCGGGTGGGG